CCCGAGAACGATGCCATCAACGACGACGAGGTCGCCAAGGTCACCATCGACAGATTCGCACAGGACACCCTTGATCGCGCCGAGCGAGTGGTCAAGGCAAACAAAGTCACACAGCAAACAGCCATGACATTCGACGCCGCCGCCACCTTCTTCCATCTGGTCAACATCTGGGGTCCTCCCGACGAAGAGACGCAACAAAAGATCAAATATGCAAAGTGGAATGCCGCACGCATCGCAAAGGCTATCAAGGAGGGCAAGGACCCTAACGAGTCCAACCCGAAACGCGAAGAACCCCAACTACTGCCGGCCTTGGACCCCAATGATCCAGAAGTTCAGGCATTGACGGGGTCGGTCGAAAAGACATCACCACCACCCCTTTCGGTCACAGTGGAGGAAGTTCCAGACAGAGACTTGCAGAGGACGGACGCTGCCGGAGTGTCTTTGCCAGTCAGCCCAGCCTCGGCTGGTCCATCCCCGATGTCCGAAGCCGAACTCAAGTTGCCCGGTGTACCCAGTGGGCTTAGCGACCCAGCACCGTCAACAGTCTCCTTGGACTCGGACACTCCGGTCTCAGCTCCCACACATAACCCTGTCAACTACAGGCCTCAGCCCGATCTGCCATCCGCCCCGACCGCACTGTCATCCTACCCTGATCCTGATATCTCGATGCCTGATGCGGGCGCTGCACGTTGGACGCCGGATGCTGATCGCCAGCCTCCTGCCCCGCCTGTGGTTCCTCCCACGTTTGCTCCCAGTGCACCGTCAACAGCTGCTGTGGCATCACCGTCTGTCAACCAGCCAACTGACTTCTACTTCCAGAACCAAGCTCCTCCAACTCCCCAAGCTCCTGCAGTTCCCAGTCTGCAGCATGTGCCTCCTCCACTAGCTGTCCCTGCATCCACTTATCCCTCTTCGCAAGTTGCTGGAGGTTTTGTCACCGACGAAGCTGCCATGGCTTCGGCTCAGAAGCATGCCAAATGGGCGATTTCAGCATTGAACTTTGAAGACGTTCCTACGGCGGTGAAGGAGCTAAGGAAAGCGTTGGAGATGTTGGGTGCAGTGTAGTCGATGGGTGTTACACGAGCCACGCAATGACCCTGGATGGAGGTTTTTAGGTCATCCACTGGCGCTCTCTCTGATACACGATCCCCGGGCCGGTCAGATGTCCATACCTGCCATCGAGCCGTATACACCATTGGAACCAAGGCATCGGAATCGGGTTATAAGCGGCCGTTATGCACGTTCGGGCAAGAATGCCCTTTCGTACTATCGGACACTTGGCGTTTACCAGTGGAACATGGAAACGTTCCAGAAGCAATGTTTACCAGGGGCCGGACAATGGGTACGTGTAACCGCTCAGTGACCGTTCGGCCGCACAGGGAGCCCTAGGCGAGTCTCGTTCTGACAGCCTCTCGAGGGCTGGGATAATACATTGCGCACTTTGAAACGAGACAGCGAAAACACAATCTGCCGATTTCAAGGCAGGTCTGAGGGCCGGTACACAGTCCTTCGCATCGATTTTGACGAAGCTGGGTCGAGAGAGGCTGCAGAGAAAGGGTCCAGGCACCCTAGGGAGACTTGGTTATAGACGTAATGTCGCGAGGATGGACCGTTGTTGTTTATGTGTCAAATTGAGCGTGGAATCCTACTGGTCATCGACACACCGACATGTGCACGTTTTCGATGAGTGAGGCTGATGGCTATGCGAGTGCTTGGTGATGACCATCATCAGTCGTCTTGGCCATCTCGGTCAGTGAACAATTTTGAGATTTGGATTTCGTGTTTTGCTTTTCGGTGATCGGTTCTGCTCAAATTTCGTCGTCGTTTTGTGGTGTATATAAACGCACTTCGTCTCGTGAGTACGCTATTAGGGTTTTTCATTTCATCCCAAGTCATCAGTCCCCTCTTCACACACAATATCAGTCGAACCTTGCTACCCGCAAGTCTCAGTCGGCATCTTGCAGATTACATCAGACACCCCGTCAGTCATAAACTACCGTTTCGGACCCTTGATTCCCCAACTTACGCCACAACATCAAATCATCACCGAGGTCTCACATTTTTGCCGTCGAGCACTTCCTGTATAAAGTGCGTTCATCCTTCTTCATATATTGACAGAACAGTTTGCTAACCCTCTTCTAAAGGTCTTCAAGTCTAAAAGCACAGCTTTCCTGTCTCCCAGACCACCCCTTCACCGTCGTCTACGCAACGCAGCAAGCAAGCAAAGCAAAACAAACACCCAAGATGCCCGAGGAAATCATCATCAGCAGCGGAAACTACACCTTCGCCGGTAGTGGCTCTTCCGGCTCTAGCTACACCGGCTCGTCGTCCTCCGCCTCCTCTGGATCCTCTTCTGGCGGCAGTGATGGCTGGAGACCCCGCACCTACGTCCCTCTGCCCATCTCCGAGGGTAGCGCTACTGGCGGCGGCGGCAGCGGTGGCGGCAGGTGCACCGACGAGGCTAAAAGACGGAGATAACCAGGCTGGAGTGATGGACACGAAGAAAAAGAGATGGGCGGCATGGACTCTTTCATGGCATGGTATAGGGCGGAGGAGTAGGATGATGATGACTTACGGCGTTGAGGCATGACTTTCTTTCTTCTTCTTCTGCAATACATACCCGGCGGCATGCGGCTGAACTTGTCCCTTGTCCACGCCCTTTTTCCCTTCAACTCAGCTGTGTATCAAAACTTTTTCGCGACGACATAGAGATCAAAATTGAGGGACTCAGGTCCAAGGATTACCTACAGCTCTACAACGCGTACGATCAGTGATGGTTTACTTCTGGCAGATGGCGTGTTGTCACGAATTGCGCAAAAGGTCTCCTCATTCAGCAGCTCCTCAAGCAGTGCAACTAACTAGCAGAGCAGCTCGACTAATGTAAAAGAAGTAACCCCGCAAAAATTCTCGGGGTGAAAATTAACAGTGCCAGCCATCATCGAGTGCCCCCATCAGACCGCTCAAACTAAGCATGTCTTTTAAATATCGAAAATTCCCCCAACTAATCGTGAGAAACTGACTGAACTGACCGGCCGTCCCCCAAGACATACCGTGTAACCAGTTCCTCCAGTTCCTCAACAAAATTCTGACACCACGCCCCCTTTCAGCCATTCAGTCATACCCGGTTTCACGTCCCACAAAGCTTTTCCTCGATATCGAATTTCTGTCCATAGCAATTTGATCATCCCACGTGGTTGGTAGCACCCTGAAACGAGGGACAGGCTGCGACGGGCTGATATTGGGTGGTTCAGAAAGTTGGTTAGTTGTATCGCGGGGGACGCGCAGGTGAGTCGCGCCGGAAATCTAAACGGAACTGAAGGAAACGCGTACGTCGCTGCGTGGTATGTGTTAAAAGGTCTATGACACATCTGAGGGTACCTTGGAGGTGCGCATTCGAATGCAGAATAACTTCTGACTGCGGGTATCATTTGTATCTGAAGGCCCAAAGGCTGTTGTTAAGTTACCTATCTAGCTTCGTTTATATGGATATTGTGAATTAGATTACTAGCAACCAAATAATGCCGTGGCAGATATTCTTGGTGCTATTTGACACGCGCGACGTGCGGGAAGACGGGCAGTTTCTCTCAGCTCCTATGATAATCTCTTGCAAGAATGACTGCTCCCGTGAACTTTGTCTTGAATGCAATAGTACAAGAGGTCGAAATGATGGACTGGTTTTTGAACTAGGCGTTTGTCTGGAATTCTCTAAAGCCGTCTTCTTCTTCGGCAGCGATTTGGTAAGGTCCTTTAGTGTCGGTTTCCAGGTCACCTCTCCTCTTCATCACGGAGTTTGCCCCGAAGAGATCGAGTTCCCATTCTTTGAGTGCCTCTTTCTGGCCTTTCCTTGTTTCGAACAATTTCTTCTGTACTTCGTGCGGGATGTTGCGCATGTTCTTCTCTGGGATGAAACACCTAGATATATCGTCAATGTCGAAGTTGGGATCGACGAGAAGGGTGAGGAGCAGGATGTTGCGCGCTGTTAGGTACGCATCGCGTCAGTCTTACTATCTCTTTGAGATGTAGAGAGGTGAAAGGAGGAGAAGGGAGGGCTCTGGGGAAAGAGGCAGAGGTGAGGAAACATAAGGTACCAATCACCAATGTGTTCAAATGACGCGTCATGGCCATGTGCGCTGGGAAGAGCACATTTCCAACGTCTCCAGACCCTAGAAGCAAGATGTTGACTGGCTTCTCTTCGCCCTTCGTGTCCGGCGGTTATGTTCTCCGTCAGGTAAACGGCGGGTGGTCGCCGAGGGGTGGAACGCGCGGGTGACGCGCCTGCATTACCTGAGGGAGGAGCGGCTGCAAATGTATTCACGAGCATATGATGCACGCTGTGGAAGTTGAAATGAGATACGAATTTGTGTTGAATGTAATTGTGAAAGCACAACTGAGCAACAGACGCTGCTGCAAACAACGAAGTGGTTGGGTTCCAAACTAACAAGGTTGTTGAGACTGGGGCGGGTGCACATCGCGAAGTTGTGGTTCGAAAGAAGGCGTGAATGGAAGAAAACACCAAGAGCAAGCGGGAGTGCTGGGTCGCGGGTGCTGGCTGGATTGAGGAAAAAAAAACCATCCACCAAGGGAAAGTGTACGTTGCCCCTCCTGCCAGCAAAAGAGAAGGAGCGGGATGGACTCAAAATCGGGCACCACCACGGCAAGCGTCACCAGTCCGCCCAGCCCTCTTGTTGAGGAAGGAAGGCACGCTTCCACGTCACCATGTCCCAACCACCAAGCCCACATCCCCAAAAGCCGCCAGACATCAAGCATCAGCTTCACCATGAGTATGGAAAGGCACCAGAGAACCAGTTCATGGGCACCAGGGCAAGAGCACAACCGTCACCAACCACCACAACACCACCAATCTTCACCGTGAGCATGAGCATAAGCGCCAGAGCACCAGACCAGGGGCACCACCACCACCAGTACCGGCAGGAGCAGAAGTCCCTAACTCGTGGTATATATATTAGTTCCGCAGACCTGATATTCAACGACAAACAAAAGCGCGGTTGGTGTAGTGGTCAGCATGTTCGCTCAGTAATGGCACTTCGTTCACCACGGTGTTCGTGTCAGTCCCCTTCGGGGCGTTGCCAGGCTGACTGCGAGAGACCCGGGTTCGAATCCCGGACTGCGCATATTTTTTTCGTATTTATTTCTTTTTTGGTCTTTCTTTTTGCCAGGGCCGGCGGGGAAAGCCTCAGGGTGTGCGTGGTGGCAGGTGAGGAGGATCATGATGGCACAGATAAGGCTGAACTGGAATTGGAGATGGGCTGTTATTTTATTTTATTATTTTGATTACGTGACGAGCTCTTGTTGGGGTTGAGTAGCATCTTGGTGCAAGTGAGGTTGGCGATCTTGCTCTCAGAATCCAGCGGCTATCTGACGTTTACCCCTTTTGGGAAGAACATACGAGTGGGTGTCTGCCTGGGAAGCTCGACTGTCGTATTGGTACCCTAACCCTGGTATAGGAATGGGTTTTCGTCTGATATGGTTTATACAGAAGTGAGATATACGGGCAGCTCTTGTTTATACGGTAATCTTGATTGAAATCTGTGAGAAGATTCTGGGCGTTTGCTGCACAGACCGCTAGTCCTTTGCGCTGTAGGGCTCTTTACCCTGCAAACCTCCTTTGACAGCGGATCTGGCAGCACCCAGAATCCCCTCCTTTGTAGACCTTCCTCTTTATTACCAATTCTATATAACTAGTAATCCCCTCCAGCTTCAATTAACTAGATCTCTTAATTAATATATATTATTCTTATTATCTTTCGTAATCTATTTTATAGGTTATAAACCCTCTATTGTAACGCTAACTAAGCGCAACCTCCTAATAAAAACCCCATTAAGTCAACGACGCGATCTTCGCCCTAACAATCCCATTAAGTCAGTAACGCAATCTTCGCCCTAATAATCCCATTAAAATCAATGACGTAATCTTCGCCCTAACAACCCCTCTAAATTAGTAACGCGATCTACGCCCTAATACTCCAACCTCAAATCGACGATTTACTGGCATTTATAAAGATTATTTACCAAGACAATAATCACAATCAATCCTCCCCCAATAAACTAATATAATTATTTACTCTATTAGCTATAGCTTCAAATAATAACCTAGCCGACATAATAACCTTCATATAATTAAAAAGCGAGAAGAATCTAGGTAACTAGGAGGCAACTCTCTAGGTCGCTCTAAATTACGCCAACTTTATAGACTATATCTTTAGCCTAAAGGATAAATTAGAATTAAACGATAAAACGTCGAAGGAGTACGAAACGTAGCGATCTAATAAGGCTAGAGCAGTCGCCGCTATTTATAGTACCCTAAAAGTAGAGAATATCCGGACAACCCTACAAATTAATAGATAGAATCTACGCGATAGGGACCCCAGTTATTATTACTAGCTAGTTTAAAAAATTATTGCAAAGGTTACAGATAAGGCTAAAGCGGATGTACTCCAAGAATATCTATTACTAAAGAGATAATCTTTTAATATTATAGAATCGTTCTTATAACGATATAATATTTGCTATAAACGAATAACCGAAGCTAACTTCCTTATCGACGAAGATTTCGAAATAGTTATCCTATTTAATATAGTTAAAACCTAATACCCTATTGAAGCCCGCTTCTAGGCTATAGATATAGAAACGAAGAAACTAGTTCCCTTAATATTTCTAGGCAAGTTCAATACTATTAGCAATAGCGAGAAGCGGAATTTAACCTTTAGTGTCTCTATTCAAGTTAATAATGCCAATAATGATAATAAAGGTAATAAGGATAATAAGGAAAAGAAGAAGAGAGAAATAGAGAAGTGCTCTACGTATAGTAGAGAGATTATAAAAGGTTATAAACACTTCGATTACAGTTATTATAGGAATCCTAAAATACTAAACTATTAAATATATAACCTAAAGAAGGCACCAAATAATTAGAAGAAAAAGAAAGAGTTAATGGAGGCAAAGTCTAGTACAGTTACAGCTACTACTAATACGAATAATAGCCTTACCTATCCTTCTTTAAAGAGCTCCCTACTATACGGTAGTATTAATAGCTTTATGGTATTAAGCCGTAATAACTCTAACTCCGATACCTCTAATTAGAGTTTTTGGTAGAGCCTATAGTTAATTTAAACGTTAAAATCTAATAAGCTCTTAAGGTACAATTGATGAATAATATTAATAACGACGATAATATACGTAATAAGGTTCTTTACGATTCTAGATGTACCACCAGCATATTTAACTATCTTAAATAGTTTATAGATATATAACTATTAAACGAATCCTCTAAGTACGTAGTAGGCAACGGTAATTCTATATACTCGTATTATAAAAGCATAATAGAGTTAACGATGCCAATAAATCACAGTACAATAAGGGTGATAATCAAAGACGTATAGTTCTACCCTAACGTTCTAACTAATTTTATTATATCTACTAGCCTTTTCGATAACGGTATAGAGTAGATAATAAAAAGCAACCAAATTACGTATAGTAAATATACTATATAATGTAGCTGGGCTGGCAATGTCCCTACCCTCCTTACTATACTGCCTAACAATTTTAATTAACGTTACGAACTTCCTAGAGTTCTAATGGCTTCGATAATATATAAAACAATATATAAACGATTGATACACGCTGGAAAATAATAAGTTATTGAGGCCTATTAGAAAGTAGGTATCCCTATATCTAGATAAGAGGAGGATAATTGTAAGGCTTGCAATATATCGAAAATAACAAATAAAATGCCTAAGGTAGTCTACGGTACTATAGTAACGAAAGTACTATAATACGTACGAGTAAACGTCACTAACTATAATTAACCAGGCTATATAAGCGTTAAATACGTTGTATATTTTATTTATATAGTTATAACTTATAGATGGGTTCGTTTCGTAGTTAATAAAGGCGATGCCTTTAGAGTAATAACTAAATGGAAAAGATTCGTAGAGTTATAAACTAGTTTAAAAGTTTGTATTATAAGCCTTGATAGTAGCCTAGAATTCGAATTGGCGATAATAAAGTTCAAAAACTCTAAGCTAGATAAATAGACAAAATAAGAAGGTATTGAAATCTAGAAAACAATACCCTATATACTATAAATAAACAGCCTAACCGAACTAATAGGAAGGTTAATTATAATAAAAACTAGAACCGTTATCTAAAAGAATAAGATTCCTATAGTTCTCTAGCCTTTTATAATAGATACAACCGTTAGAATTATAAATTTATTACCGACTAAAGTAAATCCAAATAAGATAAGTCCCTATAAACTTCTTTATACTTACGCTAATAATCCTATAGACTAAAGGAAACCCTACTTCAAATACTTATGAAAATACTAGTATATCGCTTACTATTATATTAAACCTTAGAAACGGGAATAAAGCGATAAATTTACCCCGCGAATACGTAAAGCCTACCTTCTCAATTATAGTAACGAATATAGCCGCATTTACTAGCTATACAATCTAAAATCTTACGAAATAATCCGAACGAACGTAATTAAATTCGTAGAGAAGGACAGCGAAAATAAAGAAAGAGAGGATAAGCTTCAATATATAGTAGTCTTCGAAGATTATAACGTTTAAGAGATCGAAGACGTAGCGGAATAGGAAAAAGAAATAATAATTAGGGTAATGGGTACGATGTAATTAATAGCGTAATTAATAGAAGTTAAATAATAATTTCAACCTAAACCCCCCCCCGTAGTTCTCGAAATACCGTATTATTACCCTAGCCCATTACTAATATTAACACCGTCGTCAACACCCTTAATTCAAAATCTCTAAAGTCAATAAGACTAGACGTTATCTTCTATCGAAGAAGAATAAGAATAAATGATAGATCTTAATAATTTAGATAAAGAGAATCCTATCCCGCCAAAGGATAGCCTACTCGAAAAATTATACTCTCTAAGCAATTCCAACGAGTCTAATAAATCTTCGAAATTAGGAAATACGAATAACGCAATTTCTACCCTTACTCAACGCGGTAGTATCAAAATACTTAATCTCTTTAAGAAGTTTATATCTCTATCTACCTTTAAACTTCTCCAAACCCCTACAAGTATAGAACTTCAATAAATGCTTCTATTTCCAACACTTATACTAGTAAAGCCTCTAGCACCAATACTCTTAGTATCCCCAGCTCCTTTTACGGCTCAGCAGGGATTTTTAGCTCCCCCTATGACTTAATAAAGATCTCTAATACCGCCGCCTCCATCGGCTAACCCTACTACTCCTACACCTATATAAGCACCCCTTACCCCCTTAGTACCTCTTTTAAACGATTAACCCTCTTTAAAACTTATAGTTCCTACTATAGATAATTCTATCCTTCTAGAAGTACGAAAAAGTCGTCTAAAGAAAATTAAAACTAAAAAACTAAAAGGGTATAAATACGGTAATAAAAAGATAATTAATAAACTAGGTAAACTATTATTCTACCATAGAACGATAGAACCTAACCGGTTAATAAGACCACCGCCTATCTAGTATCTTATAACCATAAAGGCATTAAAGGAAATCAACAGCTATATCAATACTAAACGAATTATCCTTAAGAATTACAGACAGGCTAAAAAGCTTCCAAACTTTAGTATATATTAGTTTCCAGCTATGAAAAAGTAGGTAAAAGCATTGAAAGACTAAAAAGTATGGAATCTAGTCTAGAAAACCCCAGATATAAATATTCTACTTAGTAAATAAGTATATAACGAGAAATTCAACCTTATCACACAACAATACAAAACTAGAATACAATGGGTAGTCTATAATAATAAGGAACAAGAAAATTCTTGGAATATCGAAGATATCTATACTATAGTAGCCAATAATACGAACCTTCGAATCTTTCTAGTTTATATAGCTATCTACAATCTAGATTACTAATAATTCGACTTTAATATAGCCTTTCTCAACGCCTCTATTCCAAAAGGAAAAAGATATTACGTTAAACAACCGACAAATTTAATAAAGGATTCCCAAAAGGTGTACCTATTATGCAGAGCTCTATATAAGTTAAAATAAAGCCCTCTATACTAATTTAACACCATAAATCCCATCCTATTCGAACTAGGTTTTTTAGTACTAGGCACAAATACCTATTTTTTCGTTAATAAGACCAG